CAAAGACTTTAAACATAAAATGTCATCCCAAATTGACCAATCGCCAATGGAATTCAGAACCGATCTTTCTCCCTTAAAGATGGGATATGTTTTCTCTTTATCTTGGTTCTATAACAAGTTGTTAGCAGTGTTTTTGAAACGTTTTTTCTACAGTCATGTTTTCTCATATTCTGAACACTAACTACCAATAAGTATACTTGAATTCAGATGAAAATAAGCAGTTAAAAGAGAAACAAGGATGCAGAACAGAAGGGAAGACCTTTCGAAAGAAGCCAATTATTGGTGCCAGGAAAACGTCCATACTTCCAAAAACAGTCAGGGATACTTCTGTCCCACTGAAAACAAAACAAACCAATATATAACAAATCAAGGCACACACAGTAGCTTAACAATTAGTACAGAAAAAATATAAAATGAGGAATTTGCACACCTAAACTTTGCACCATTCTTAGCTTGAGAAGGTTGTCTTTTCAGACTTTTGTTCGCTATATACTCATCCAGATTTATATGATAATAGTATACCTCATCGTCAGTAAAGCCTGCACTTCCATCAGCATGGTGGAGGAGGATAAGAGAAGAACGATAATAGGTTACACAATGTAGCTTCATGGACTCTAACTAAGAGAACTTAATCTAATATTAAGACAAGTGAACAATCAATCAATCATATACGCAAAACAATATATGTTTCTCCATTGAACTTATAAGCAAACTTTTGACAAAATTAAAGCATGTGAAACCATAATCAAGCGTGAAGGTCTGTGAAAAACTTACAAGTCGTTTTGACGGAGAGTAACCCATCTGCATCACATCATTATCCACAATCAGAATCGCTTAATCGAAGTTCTAACATCATACTAAAATTTGGTAGCTAGCATTGAATAATCGAATACCCAAGTTGCTAATAATGTACTGACCCCAAATCTTGGCTCCATTGAATTCTCTAGGACACCTCAAATCCTGAAATTCCTCCAATTTGCATCCAATTCCCGTATCCGCAACTATACACAGCATCAAATAGACAGATAATGAGACCAATTTAGCGAAGACAAATTCAATTTCCATACGCAGAATCGAAAACAAAATTAGGGCCAAAGAGAGTGAAATTACTTGAAATACATGTAATCGGAGGATCATTGTTTGTAGATTGATCAAGAAGAACTGATAATCTACAGAGATCTTCTGATAAACGGCATCTTTGAAAAGCAGATGATATTAACTGCAGAAATTCGAATTTCTCAGAACAGAAAAATTTCAGGAGAAAAGAGAAAAAAACCTATCGAAAACTGTGAATACGGAGAACGATTGATCAGAGAGTGGTGAAGATGATCGGTGACTTACTTGTAGAAGAAGCTTCGGAACCGGAGCGGTGGTTTCCATGGCAGGTCCTCCGCTTTCGAAATTGTCCCGCCTATCGCCAAATTTTTTGAAATCCAAGTCCCCTCCTCCACCCTTTACTGTCTCACTCTACAACTAGTGTCAAAAATAAATAAAAGGAATCTAAAATGATTTTGGGCAATTATAATCCTATACTAATATTTGGGAAGTACATCCTAAGAGTCATAACTTATATTTTGTAAGAAATTACAATATATGTCATTATATAATTCTAATCATAAAATTTATTCCATGTCACTAATATATATAAACGGGTCAACGGGTTTAAAGATATTAAAAGATTTTGTTTATATAATACATATAATTCTGAAAAAAATTTCTTCAAACGATTACACAATTAATATAATTTGAAAATATTATATACTAATCAATTCGAAAATGTAACACAATTAGTAAAAATGTTATATACTAATATATTATTCGAAAATGTGATCGAAAATGTTATTGAAAATCTTATATAGTAATCCATTATTCGAACATGTTATCAAAAATGTTAATGAAAGTGATATATCATTGAAAATTGTATATTTTGTTTGAGAAGTGTAAAAATTACATTATATCTACATATACATTTTTAGAGGGGATTTTGTTTTTTAATTCAAATGGATCGGGTTTTGACCCGGTTTTAATTTGTTCGGATCCTAGATAAGAGATTGAAGGAAGTTTATAATCTTTAATTACCCATTTAACTCTCTTTCCTTAATTTATTCCCACATTAATCGGCATGCCATTAGCATTTATTATTTAAATTTGCAAAATTAAATAAAGATATTAAGCAAACTAAATCTCGAGTATGTTGCTATATTCGAGTGTATATTCTCGATTTAACGTTTTCAATTCTACCTAATTCCAACTAATCTTTCAACTAATTAATCACCACCTTTATTTTCGGAGATTTTCTTTCTCCAGTATCTCAACAAAATCCATTTAAAGAAACAAAGTTATGACCCTTAAATATTAAAATCTCGGCATATTCCAAAATACTAACGAATCCAAAGATTTTTTCTCCAATTTGTTGCTACTTCGAATATTTTTTGCGTGAAGTGATAGGGATTAGTGACCTAATTTTGACCCTATAAATACTCTACACCTAAATGTGGATCTTTATCATAAAACAAAAAAAAGTCACGATTTGCAAGAAAAACATTTAACACACCTTTTTCCTCTTCACATGGCTGCTACTTTTGAGTTTATGGTGAAAATAGATGTCGAATGGAGAGATTGTTGCAACGGTTTATCATCGAGCTTTAGGTGATGCTGTGTACGGGTAGGGAATTAGTGGCTGTGACGGCGACGGTGACGGTAAGATGTTGGTTCAACGGTGGGTAATAGAGCTTTAGCTTGGTGGTGTAGAACTCGGATCTCTTTGAAATTAGGTTTGGATCTGGACCATCGCAGATCCACTTTGCCGTTCAAACAGTCAGATCAAACCATCGAGAAAACTTGCCGAAGAAGATATTCTACAAATCCATGTCTTAGTGTATGTGTTGCTTGGTGTTGTTGCGATTATTAAACCGTGAAACTAAACCAAGCTAAACCAAGAGATGGCTTGTGTAATTGAAATCCAGAATCAAAACTTGGAATCGTGAGATGACTTGTGATGATGGTCACGTGTAGTGGTGGTGGTTTGTGCGATTGTTTGTTTGGGTTTTGGAATTTGATTATTAAACCGGAATTGTGGACCTTGGGTTAAGGTCACGTGGTTGTAAAGTTGTTTCTTATTAAATGGGTTTGGTTTAGTCTCTAAATATTTAATCCTAATTAATTGTGGGATAGGTTACTGAATCGAAATCATGGGTTGAATCAGGGTGTTATTGAACATGTTTTTTTCAAATCTTTAATTCATAGTTGTAATCGAAAAAAGATCTGTGCTGAATCAGTAAGATAATCAGAGGGGATAAAGATTTTTTGTATGAACAATTGGATCGACTCTTTTTTTTCAAGTGAAAAAAAAGATTGACATTTTACCAAAAAAATAAAGAAAGCAAAAAACATTATCTATACCCTTTTTTATACTATATACAAATATAGTTATGTAATGTGTCTTCTTATTGATTGTCTTTCATTTTTCAAACTAACTTTTTTTATAATATTAATGATATTTTAACTCTATACAAATTAAAAATCTATATATTATGAGAACTATTTAAAGCAAACTTTTAAATTTATTCGAATTATATATTTTAAATAAATTATTATTAATAAAATTACAAAATGGTGTTTAATTTTACGGGACGAGGTTATATGGTGGGACGGATTTGAGTCGACATTAAAACGGGAAGGTATACCACGGGTGAAAAATCCTAGAATTAACAATTAAAATACAATCATACAATCTTAAACACTAAATAAATAAAAAAATTCACAAGACATATATAATTTAAAATTTAAAATTTTCATATGTTAATTCGAAATACACATTTTTTCCTTATATATAACAACACGCATATACAATATCGATTTTACTTATAATGGATAAACAATTATACACATAGTGTACTTTAATTTTATTTGCACAACATATATATATATATATATATATATATATATATATATATATATACACTGCAATTTTAAATATGTATTTGCTCAATAAAAATTTATAAACCCATTCTAATCTCATATATTCTTCACATATATATATAATGTAAACAAGAAAATAAATTCATATTTAAATACCCTATACATTAGTACGTAATGAACTATATAATTTTCTATATCTCTATATTTTCAAAAATGAAACCTAAAACATATTAATCCTACAATGTATAATATATATACGTTTAAAACAAACAAAATCATAGCATATATGGAAAAGAAAGGCCTTAAAAAATTAATTTTATATTTAATAAAAATATAAGTCTGCGGTGTACTGCGGGTTAATATTTTTTAAACCATTGAACCGTACAAAATATTAGAATCCGTGCTGTATAGCACGGGTCATGATCTAGTTCATAATTATTTGGATATAAAACTTTATTAAACTGTGTTACAAAAAAAAAATATTAAACTATAATTATATTTTTATTAGATATATATCTTAGTGATAATTATTTAATGTGTTATTACCACATAAGATCAAATCTGATAAAATCAATTTAGCTTAATGTTTAACACTTTGCTAGTATATTTTAAAGTTATATAATGAAATATTTACTCAATCTTTCCAAGTATAATTTGATAACACTTTTATTTTATAAGAAATGGATGAAAAAAAAGCCAACAAACAAAAATAAGGAGAAAAAAATTAAAATAAAAGATTAAATAACATTGTGTCACATGCCATCTATTCAGTATGTATAATAAAAAAGATTAATCCAATGAAAATGAAATCAAACATTGTTATTTAATACATTACACTAAAATGTCCTATACAAATGGATGTAGATTTTGCATGATATATAATTGACATATCATAAGATAAGATACCCTGACATTTGGCAAGATGAGATAAATCTCGTATCTCAAACATTTTAGAAATAATCTATATTTTAGTTCTTATATATATAAATGTTTTCAAAAATAATTTGAGATATAAATGTTTGTTACAATATAAAGAAGTATATTCGAACCTATATAAACCACATATTCAACAGAAATTAACAACACATAAAAAGTCTAGTTGATTAACGATGGAAAATGAGATATTGGAAGAAAAATTTATAGATTGGAGAGGAAGAGATACAATCCCTGGAAAACATGGTGGGATTAGAGCTGCTTCTATTGCTTATGGTAAAACCCTTTTCTTTAAACTTAAATCATCTTTTTTTGAATACTAATGCTTTAAAAGAGTTATAATATATAATTTGGTGATTGTAAATTTAGTTGTGGAGCTACTGGAGATCATGGTGTCCATAGCTATTGGAAACACCATGGTGTTATATTTCATGAAATCAATGCATTACTCACCAGCCGAAGCAGCAAACATGGTGACCAATTTCATTGGAACATCTTATTTGCTCACTCTCTTTGGTGGATTCGTGGCTGACTCGTTCCTCACTCGCTCCACAACTTTCATCATCTTCTGTTCCATTGAAATATTGGTAATATAATACTCCATCAAGATTTGTATCTCAAAATGAAGTAAACCAATTAACTTAGAAGCTTAATCCTTTTGATAGGGTTTGCTTGTGTTGACATTTCAAGCTCATTACCCTAATCTACAACCTGAGGGAAATAAAACACCATCAACTCTTCAATCAACGGTTCTTTTCACGGGACTTTATTTGTTCGCCTTTGGTACGGGCGGTACTAGGCCCTCGTTGCTTGCACACGGAGGTGATCAGTTTGATAGTAGACACCAAAGAGAGATCTCGAAATTCTTCAATTGGTACTACTTCTTTGTCTGCTTTGGATGGCTCATGGCTATAACCGTTATGGCTTGGATCAAAGAGCTTTTCAATATATCAATTGTGCTTCTAGCGATTGCGCTATGTATTTTTGCACTAGGATTACCTTTGTATCGATTGAAACGTCCTAGTGGAAGTCCCTTGACAAGGATTGCAAATGTCTTTATTTCTGCCGCAAGGTATCGCAATGGTTCTGTTTTGGATGTAGAGATGATGCAAAGTCTCACATTTACTGACAACAATATTCATCACCACAACAAGTTAAAGTAAGTCTCCTAAAAATACATGTTTTGTTCTTTTATTATGTGATGTGCTGGCTCAGTGACCTAGTTCTAACTAAAAAAACTAACAATACTAATAACCAAGGCTATAATTTTATTTTGGAGATTTGATTATTTTGTGAACCTAACATTTTTCTTTTCAGGTGTTTAGATAAAGCATTGTTGAACAAAAACATCTCCGCAACACAAGTTGAAGAAACAAGAACATTTATCGGTCTCCTACCAATCTTTTTGAGCACGATTGTTATGAATACTTGTGTGGCACAATTACTGACCTTCACCGTACAACAAGGCATGACCATGAACAGAAAAATCTCTTCTTCAATCGAAATCCCCGTACCTTCCCTCAACGTCATCTCAATCATCTTCATGCTCGCTTTCATATCCTTATATGAACTCTTCGGGAAAAGTATCAACAGAACATCAAGCTTCTCTTTAAAACGAATTGGACTCGGCTTGACTCTCTCCTCTATTTCAATGGCGGTTGCAGCCATTGTTGAGGCCAAGAGGAAACACGAGGCGGTTCAAAATGACGTTAGAATCTCTGTTTTCTGGCTAATGTTTCAATATCTCATGCTAAGTTTCTCGGATATATTGACCTTGGGAGGGATGCAAGAGTTTTTCTATAGAGAAGCTCCAGCAAGTATGAAGAGTATGAGCATAGCATTGGGGTGGTGCTCCATTGCAATGGGTTTTTTCCTTAGCTCACTTCTTGTGGCGATCACCAATGCGGTCTCGGGCTGGCTTGGCCATCAATGGTTAGGTGGGGAAGATCTGAATAAATCCAGACTTGATCTGTTTTATGTGCTTGTATGTGTTCTTAATACTCTTAATCTTCTTAACTATATTTTTTGGGCAAAGAGATATTAAAAAAAGAGAAATTGCACTAGATAACCTAAAAAAACAACAAAATTAAATATCTAACCTCTAACCCCCTATATTCACTCTAAAAAACTAATTTTTCACTCTCTTTATTCACTATATTCACTCTCTTTCTCTTCCTATCTCTCTCTACCTTCTTTCTAAAAAACTAATTTTTCTTTTTTTTTGGGTTATTCACCTAAATCACCCTTAAGAAAATGAATATGTATTATATATGGATATGAAGTTGCTTGTATTGTTGGCATAGAAATCAACAAGTAGAGAACTAGAGTTGCTTTTGGATTATATGACTTATTCGTACGCAAATATCTTGCTCGACCAAATAGGGTAATTACCGGTACTAAGATATTTCTTGTGTTCAAGGGTTCAATAGAAGACTAAAAAATAAACATAGACTAAATTATAAAAAATGGCTCTTACTTTAATTTCAAAACTTTTTTTTTTTTTTTTGTCATCCGAAATTAAAAAGAGCTCAAAAGAGCCATTCCTGAGAAATGTTGTTTACAAAAGTGATATGTAGCGGTTCCGTACGAACTTTTCGTGCCAGATTGTCCGCTTTAGTATTAGCACATCGAGAAATTAGAGAAAGAGAGAAGTTGGAGAACTCTTCCTTGTCGCTCTGGAATTCCTCCAAATACACTGAGAAGGCCGGCCATTCGGTTGGGGAAACACCATCTTCACCAAGTTAGAACAGTCTGTAAAGAAAGCTACCTCTTGATTTAATTTCAAAACTTTTAATTCTCAAATTGAAAGTGAACATTATAATTTTTGAGAATCGAATTTGGAATCAAAATCCTAATAGTATGAAAATATTTATGAGAACTAGTCAAAAAAAATTATTATTTTTACTTCTGCATCTACCACTTCAAATGAAGATATATCTTTGGTCTAACTAATGAAGATTCGCATATGAACACCATCGTCTTTGGTGGTAGAGGTCACGTTATCATGAAAGCTCTTCAATTTGTGTTGCACATTTTTCCTTCTGGTCCTCGTGCATGCATCTCTGCAGATGTTTCTCTTTTAGTGACATTTTATTTGTCTACTTCTCTTTTCAAAGCTAAATTACTATATATCCAATTGTTAGAAATCGCTTGGTGTTTTGTTTTCAACCACATAATCACTAGGCCATAAACTGCTAGCATTCCGCTGTCAAATATGAACAATCTTTGATTTATTTCTAGGAATGAACCATTTTATTCTCTTTTTTTTTTAACCAATATTTTCTACCACGTACTTACTTATGACTTTCTTACAAAAAACATAGGAAATTGGTAAAACATTATACGAAACCTACTCGTAAGAAAGTCGTAGGAAATTTTCTACTAAATTCTTACAAAGTATATGGTCGTAGAGAATTTCGTAGAAAATTGGCAGGAGTTTGATGAGAAAATAAGTGGTAAAAATTTCATAGAAATTTGGTAAAATCAGTTCCTTCCAATCTCCTACGAAGACTATACCAAAGAAAATTTGTAGGAACTTGGTAGGAATGTTTCCTACCAATTTCTTTTGTAAGAAAATCGTAGGTTTTATTCAAAATGTGACAAACAATTATCTCTCATATTTAAAATCACTAGATTTTGTACCCGCGCGTTGCGCGGGATTTTAATTTTACTTTTTTTTATTAACAAATAATTTGAGCACAAAAGATAATCATTTAAATTTAAAAAATAAATATTTGAGCATAAATATAATAATTCAAATTTTAGCAAAGCTTCTTTTAGCCATTGAAGCAAGTGCATGGTGCCATAAAAAAATTCTCGACTAAGTTATCAATGTGCCTATTTTACCTAACTTTTCATGATTACACGACCAAACAGTTAAGCCCAACTTTGAATCTAATAATCTCTTTAATAATGTGTGTCATATATTTTTTAAAAACAACTCATTCGTTTACACAATGCATGAGATCTCAAAGAATTTGAACTTTTCATGTGCATTATATTTCTAAGTTTTAGAAATTTATTTTTAAACACATTTAATTACCAATTCTTTCGTCATCGTCTATGATGCACTCGTTGACACGGTCGACATCTACTTTCTTTTCAACTTCTATTGACTCACATATTATATATATTGGACTATGAATTGATTTTCAAGACATATCATTAACTATTTTCTCCTTAATTACTATCTTTCAATACTCAAATTTTTGGGTTAAAAGTATTTGATTCAATTGATGATATATCAATCTTGTTTTTCTTTTTGATCATGTTATAAAGTTGTAGTTGCAGTTGAGAATATGCTATACAAATTACATATCACTTTTCTTTAATGGCTTATATTTCATTTTTTTGTATATTTTGTGTAGAACTTGTGATCATTGATTATTATTTTTTTTTAAAATGGATCATAATGTTTCAAAATTTTCAAGATTTTTTTTTATAGTTTCACAAGATAAATTGTGACTCTTACACTACCTTCATCTTAAATTATAAATTTAAGTTGAGTTTAGTTAACTTTTATTGTTCTTTAAGTAAAACTTTAATACTAAATTAAACTATGTAGTATATTGTTCTTAGAAGTTAATGTTTCACTTTAAATTTTATTTTCTTGTTTAAAATTTTACATATAGAATTACATAAATTTATTTTTATTATACTATGTATTTAAAAGTTACTTCCATTCTAAAACTCATTAACACATTTAAAGATGTGAAGTATGGTCATTTGTAATTTTTATCTATTAAAAGTGGAAGTATTTTATTACTACTAATAATATTTTTATAGTTTTTTCGTATTTTAACATATCATTTATGTTACATAATTCGTTTTTTATTTATTTAATTTTTTTATTAATTATAAGTAACATAAATATGTACTAAATGAATGTTTAAAGTGTATTTTAATATAAAATAAATAATGTTGCTTAGGTGGATGCTTAGGTGGATAGGCTAGATGGAGAGAAGACTCTCCCATTATATATATAGATTTACATATATATTAACTTTACATTTAATAATATATACTTTTAAACAATTTACTTATAAATTTAAATTTCTACTAATTACTTTAATTTTCTTCTAGAACAATCAAGATATTTTTTAAAACTATAACCCTTAAAAGTTTTTAAATCTTGTCATTTTCTTAACCATAAAACACTAAAACTCTAACCCAAGAATTTATTTACTATCCTCAAAGCTATAATCCAACACTTAAATTTCAAGAATTCAAATTAAATTTTTAAAGAAATACAAATCTAAATTTTTTTAAGCTTAAAGCATTCATCAGAGTTTTAGAATTAATGTTAACATATATAGGATTTGCCAATCGCTACTGCCTACAACCGCAGACGTTTGCGGGAAGAAACTTTTGAAATATAGCGATTTTGAACGGTTATTGAGCAGTTTAAAGTGATTATTACGATTGACTTTAAAAGCTATCAACCGCAACTGCCGTAGCGGGAGAACCAATCAAACCCTTATACTAGCATAAACAAATAACATGGACCACCGATCAATCAAACCAATCAACCATATAATAACTATAGAAAACCATAAATGGGTTTATTGAAAAATATTCACGACTTATTGAAAATTTCTCATTGGTTTACTAACAAAAAATATGTCTTTTTTTCTTCGATAAAGGGTTGTGGAAGTCACGTGATCATTCGTGCGCCACACTATTCTTTTGTCTTCGTCGTGCGCTGACTTGTTCCACTTGATTTCTTCTCTTGGATATTAGAATAGAATACTGACTTCTAGTTTTTAGCCGGGTAGGAGATTGGGGAAGTCTTAAAAAGTGAGTTCTAATTCGTTTACAGAAAATGTCTTCGATCGTGACTTTTTCTGAATTTCTTTATTTACCTCTTCACTAGTAAGGTTTTAGTTGAATTTTCTCCATTTTTGTTTGACGGAGTTGTTATTTTCTTACTAGTCCAAGTCTTAATATTATTGTTAAATGATATAGAGACTTTGTAAATGTGTTTTTATATGTATATGTTTGTTCAAAATCAAATGCCATAACTTTGTTTAATTCGTATGAACATGGTCGTATAAAAATATATATACGAGTACGCTAATCCAATAAACTCGGACGACTTGTATTGGACTTGTATACCTATGAATAGGAAAATGGATTACAAATTAATTTAGGTATAGATATAAATTTAAGTACTTAAGCTAGCTATTAGAGACTGGTATCTTATTTTTATGCAATGACCTATTCACAACGACCAGTGGTTAAATTATAATGTTTAAATGGAATTTTCTACAAATCTTTACCATGTGTTTTTAATTTATATTTTATCATTGACTAGGTTATACTTTCTATTTTGATCATTGACTAGGTTATACTTTCTATTTTGTGAAACATGCCTTGAGTTGGTCCGTCTGTTGAAGAGTAATTAAATCAAATAGACCGATGAATCTCATGCTAATAAAAAAAAAGTAGATGCGTGGAAGCTTTGGAACACCGGTATGATGTTTTCCACATTTAAATTAGTAAAATAATCACAATTGACTGGAAACTAGAAAAAAGAAAAAGAACAAAAAATCTTACTACATAGTTAAATACTTATATGGGTTTGAGAAAATAGATTTGTAATGTATAATATATATATATATTTTTTTTTTTTTTTTTTTTTTAAATGTATAATATATTGATGAAAGTGATTCAAGATAAATTATCTGTCTCGTTTAAATGGTTTTGTTTTTCTTAATAAATTTTAAACAAAAAGGATTTTCAACACGGTATGGTTAATTCACCAAAAAAAAAAAAAACACGGTATGGTTAATTACAATATTTAGTTCAACACTTCATGGAACGCAAGTACCGCTTAAGTATAATTAAAAGTCCTTCTCACCGAGATAAAAAAAGTCCTTCTCACCGAGATAAAAACAAAATTTCGTAATTACATCATCCCATGATTAAGCCAAACACAAAGAAGGGTTCTTTTCATTTCTACAACGACCGGTATTGTATATATTATGTACCGTAGAAAATTCAATTATTATTTATACAGCACTGTTAACAATTTCGCTGTATCATGTTCATGTACCTCATAAGAAATAAGAAAAAAATGAAATTTTTTATTCAAACTACAAAATTTAAATACAAAATACTGTACGCAGATCTTTAAATTAGGAAGAAATCTATATTTTATGGTTTTATCTTTATTTAGAAACGTTGCTTTTAAACTGGATTATTCACGATTCCGTTATCTTTTTATTTGTTATAGATTTTATGTCATACTCCATAATAATTATAAATTAGTGAAAAATGAAAATGAAAAATCTAATGTTATAGTCTATTGGTGCTCTATGATGTCACAATTTGGGTTTTAATTCGAATCATGTTTAATGCATGCGAGTTCTAGAAAAAAAAATATGTGTAAGATAATTCATAAGAAAAAATGAAAAATAATTATATTGTTTAACTCATAAGCAATCACAATATAATGAAAGTTTAATTCATTATGTTACTTAAAAGTTACAATGATAATAAACCGTAGTTAAAATTTCCAGGGATCTACCTATCTCTTTCTACGCTTATATAATCAAAACGTTTGTGGTAGTTTCAAATAAACTTCTACAAAGCCAAGAGCCCAAGTGACCAAGTTGGCATATTCTCATTCTTCATCAGAACTATCCTCCTGTTTTTATTTGAAAACCCACCTCTACATTTTCCTTTTGATCAAAATGACCCCTGAAACTCATGTGGACATGATCCATGTATCCGAGAAGGCTCATAAGAAGAGAGCATACGTGACGTTTTTGGCAGGAAATGGAGACTACGTGAAGGGAGTGGTGGGATTAGCAAAGGGTTTGCGGAAAGTCAAAAGTGCGTATCCTCTTGTTGTTGCTACGTTACCTGATGTGCCTGAGGAACATAGAGAGATCTTGAGGTCTCAAGGCTGCGTTGTGCATGAGATCGAGCCTGTTCATCCTCCAGATAGCCAAGATGCATACGCAAGGGCTTATTACGTTATTAACTACTCCAAACTGCGAATTTGGAACGTAAGTATATATATAAACTTCATGACAACGAGAGCCTCGGTTTGTTATCTTTGAAGAATGTGTATATAAACTTTTTTTTTTTTGCTAAAATATATAAACATTGTGTTTGGTAATAGTTTCTTGTAAATTTTCATTTCAGGTTATAGCTTTTACAGTTTACAAAAGTATTTTATAAGAATTTTGAAACTGAAAGATATTTGCGTCTGAATTTAGACTATAAAATTATACTCTCTCCCTTATGTTATAGAATTTGATTATTGTTTTACAAAGAACGTCATTTTATATTTTTGATGGAAATTTTTAAACAAAGGTTAAGATCTATATATGCATATTATTCTAATAGGTGTATTAATAGTGGGACTTATAATCATGTAGTTTGAAGAGTACAACAAGATGGTTTACTTAGATGGAGATATTCAAGTCTTTGACAATATCGATGACCTCTTCGATATGGAGGATGGCTATGTACATGGCGTGTTGAGTTGTTTCTGTGAGAAAATATGGAGTTACACTCCTCTCTACTCGATCGGTTATTGTCAATATTGTCCAGAGAAGGTCGTGTGGCCGGCCGAAATGGAATCTGCTCGTCCTCCTCCATACTTCAATGCTGGTATGTTTGTCTTTGAGCCTAATCCTTTGACGTATGAGAGTCTCCTTCATACCCTTCAGATCACACCGCCTACACCATTTGCGGAGCAAGTGAGTGACATGTATATATGCATCAATTTTGTTGATTAATAATTTAGGGTTTCGATTTAGTTAATATTTCAAATCGTTTTTGATGTATGATTTTGGCAGGATTTTCTCAATATGTTCTTTGAGAAAGTTTTTAAACCGGTCTCTCCGGTTTACAACCTGATTCTGTCTGTTCTTTGGCGCCATCCGGGGAATGTTGACTTGGAGAGAGTCAAAGTTGTTCATTACTGTCCACCTGTAAGTACATTTTCTTAAGCCCTAATTAGGATGGGAAACTGGTATATGACTTTGTGGGATTTCAATAAATGACACTTGTGATCAATAATAAAAAACCCATTAGTGGTTCTTACCTCGTAGAAGATGAAACAAAACCTGTAAAGAGACGTGCTTACAGTAACTCAAGTATTACCTTTAACAAAAAAATAATGTCCTCATGAAGACATAAACATAATAAACAAAAAGTGTATAGTTATCTTTTATAAAATGTTACTCTAAAAAAATATGATGTTTTCTAGTTTTTATTTTGTTTCAAAATATAGAATGTTTTCACTTTTTATGCATATATTTATTTTATTTATTTCACAATATTAAAAATATATAATCAAAGAAGAAGTTTAAAATCCAAAGATCAATTGCAGTTCATATTTGTAATATTCGATGGTCAACACCAAAATCACAACGTGGGTGTTCTATTTTTTTAATGATTGAGTTTTGTTTATTGATGTTTTTTGCTATATTATATCTCTTATTATTACATTAAATAATATTATCTCTTGTATTGATATATAACAGAAAAAGTTAAAAATAGATTTTTATTCAAAATTCTGCCTTAGAAATATAAAACGATATTTTTCATAAACAAATATAAAATTTTAAAATAAAAATCTTTCGGAAACGGAGGGAGTATATATATGACTTATTATTTTATTTTATTTCAAACTTTCCATTTTCTCTTTATAGATTAAAGTATCGTCCTGTGTGCATGAGAATGCATTTACGTATAATATTTGAACATGGGGATTTTTTTTTTGTATGAACATGATGATAATTTTTCCAATGCTTTCTCTTGCATTATAACATCTATTGACGATTATTGGTGAAATTAAAATGATAGGGAGCCAAGCCATGGAGGTACACAGGAGAAGAACCTAACATGGAGAGGGAAGACGTCAAAATGTTAATTAGGAAATGGCGGGATATCTATAACGACGAGTCTCTTGATTTCAAACCGAAAAACCATGCAGATTTGGAAGCAACCCTTTCGATATCAACAATTATACCTTCGGAAGCACCACTTTCCTACTCTCCTGCTGCACCTTCTGCAGCTTGAGAAATCTGAAACACAAGTACCACATGAAGAATGTATGTTTGAAGCAAGTTGTGTGTTTTTGTTCTCATATTTGTATTTGTTTTGGTGTTGTTTGAAATTTTTCGTTTTTGTTAAATTACTATTTGCCAACCCCCAATAATTACTTATTTCAAACAAAGATAACTAGCTTATATGTTACGGGTCCATATCTACTTATCTAGTAACAGTATAAAGAAAGGGATTTGAATCCTAAAAATTTGAATACAGAAAAAGAAAAAAAGATACAATATTATATAAGGTGATGGCACCTACCATGTATGAGAATCAATATATAGTGTTACGTATTATCTTTTTTTTTTTGGGGTCAAAGTGTCACATTATCAAATTCAAGTTCCTGTATGCTAATTACAAGCATATTCTTGGATGCATCTGAAGATATTGGGACCAAAAGATAAGAAAGAATGCAGCAAAAGGTTAAAAGCTTAAAAGTAACCAATTATTTCTACTTGTAGAAACAATGAGCACATAAATGTGGGCATCGTGGGTTTAACCAACCTAACCTTAACTCTTAGTCCCACGATTCTTATTTTTTATATCGAATTCAGAAATTGAGCTTCTATAAACTAGTCAGTCACAACTCACAAGTCACATGTTATCATCAAATATTCAAATGCCCCGACCATCCCAACCAATGTTCTTCGTGGGCCTATCTACAAGGTCATAAACGAGAGTGAATGTATGGTTTATGTCTTTATGACAGTGACTGTTATTACATTTACAAGTGGTCGGCAAATGCTTCCATATCTTAATACGACAAGACGTAGGACAAACACTTCCATATCTCTTAAAGACGACAATGTTATCAGCAACGCGGTGGAACTTGATGAAAGTCAATGGAAAGCATTTACTGCTGATATATTTTCTTCTTTTTGATAATTCTTTTTTGTTGGTATAAAATTAACCAGAAATTAATAAAGAGACACCTCTAAATTTTTTTTATATTCAAAAAAATAATTAGTTAAAAATGTTTTCTAACAAAGAAAAACACAATATTTCTATTCTGAGAGAACGTATCTTCTACTTTCAAATTCTAAAACAAAACACCTTTTTTTTTTTGGGAGTCAAAACAAACACCTTTAGATTAATTTTTAGTTTTAAAAAATTTATGTACATATACATGTATAATAAAACAATAAAATAAATTCTATCCAATCCTGAAAAAACGAAATGACAAGTCAGCAAAATTCGTCTCTCTTTCTTCAAAAAAAAAGAAAGAAAAATTAATATTGACGCAATCAATTTGGGACAGCCAAACATTGCTCAATGGAGAAGAGAAAACAAGTCAGCCATGGAAGAGAGAAGTAGATAGATAGATAGGTTAGATCCAAAGTAGTTGATCTTTGAAAAGTAGTTCTCTTTAACGTTGAAAAAAACTCTAAAACGGATCAAAAAAAAGAGAATTTTGGAAAACCCAAAAAAAAAAAAAAACCGCCATGGATTCGACTCAAAAAATCTCTCATTTGGCTCTCGACATCGGAGGTAACAAAAAAAAAAACCGAACTTGGCTTTGTTTGATTCATTTTCAGATTTGTTCGGTTCTGGGTTCGTCTCGATTGATCTCGAATTAACCGGAATTTGGTTTCGCAGGGACTTTGATAAAGCTTGTGTATTTCTCGGCAAATGGAGATTATAGCGAAGAGTCTCGTAATGGTTGCTCTGTTGTTCATGGGAAGCTTTGTTTCGCCAAGTTTGAGACCAGAAAGATTGATGATTGTTTGGAGTTTATTCGATTCAATATTCTTCATCATTCCGGTAAAGTGTCGATTTTTATGATCATAACCTCTGATTCATCATCGGATTCATTTGTATTCAGAAGCATTAAGTCTATTTGCAGTAGTAATGTATGAGTCATTAGATTACTGATTTCGAGTAAATTGTGTCTTTGAATAATCTATATTAAGTTTCAATTTGTAAAAAGTTTATTAGTAAATGGATTTTTGCAACACCCCATCCTGGATTCTATATCCGCGGAGGTTGTTTCTGTTTGAGTTGCAAACAACCTCAGCGGATGTAGAACCGGGGATGGGGGTGTTTTCAATATTCCTATGTTCGAACCAAAATAAGTTTAGTAAAGTTGAGTTGAGTTCCTTTGTTATTTCACTTCACTGACAGAGGAAATGATTCAGGTGTTCAGCATCCGAATGGCGCAGCTCATGATAAACTTTATGTCAAGGTAAAAGTTATCATCGGTTATAGTTTGGTTAAAGTTTTGTAGTGAGGAATGTTGCAGTGGGATTTTAGTTTGTAGTTGGATTATGGTCTACTAATTGATATGCTATTATTCCAAAGGCCACAGGTGGTGGGGCATTTAAGTTTGCTGATCTCTTTAAGGAGAAACTTGGAATTCTTTTTGATAAGGAAGATGAGATGCATTCTCTAGTTGGGGGTGTTAATTTTCTATTAAAGGTTTGATTTTTTTTTCTATCCTATCACCATCTTCTCTTCATTTTTCCTCTGACATTACCCACTTGAGGATATCTTGGTTGTTATATATATATATATATATGTATATAATGTACTCTGAAGAGTCGGCCACTAACTCATTCATCTTTGTCAACACGTTTTTGCTTATTCTTTATGAGTGATGTTGTATTATGTTTTCCTGATAGTGATCTTGGCCTGAGTGTTGTCGTAGACTAACTTCTAGAAGATTGCAAATATAGCTACATTACCATTTAGGACATTAAGTATTTGATGATGATAATCTGCAGTTGTGCTCATATGCAGTGTGTGTGCTCCCTGAGGTCTTTTATGAGATAGTTTCTTCATTGCATTTAAAGGCATCTGTGGTAGAATAGATTTTTGACAAACTTCTTGTTTCTGCCATTTTACATCGTTACTAATCCATAGAAGAGATATACGTAACAATAAACTTTTGCATGATTGCAGACTGTCCCAAGGGAAGCTTTTACCTACTTGGATGGCCAGAAGGAGTTTGTGGAGATCGACCATAATGATTTGTACCCATATCTACTTGTTAATATCGGCTCTGGCGTTAGCATGATCAAGGTTCACTATGGTTATGGTTTCTCTGATCAAGTTTTTTCTTGCAACTATATTAATTATGTTGCTTACTCAAACTCGTCCTTATGTAGGTCGATGGAGATGGAAAGTATGAGAGGATAAGTGGAACAAGCCTTGGTGGAGGCACATTCTTAGGTCTTGGAAAGCTTTTAACAAAATGCAAGAGGTGACTTCTTAGTTAAGTCTATTAATATAAGTTTCCTTCTTGCCTGAGTAACAACTCATATCTCTTAGTTTCAGTTTTGATGAGCTGCTAGAGTTAAGTCACCATGGAAATAACAGAGTAATTGACATGCTTGTCGGGGATATCTATGGTGGAACAGATTATTCAAAGGTAATTGATTGATCTTGGTTTTGCTTAAATAGCTGCCTACTTGAACAAGTCTACTAGAGTTTTAGATTGGATTCATATGTGAATATAGACCTTTTGTTCTTTCCTTTTTGGTAGATTGGTCTCTCCTCAACAGCTATCGCTTCCAGCTTTGGGAAAGCAATTTCTGATGGCAAAGAACTTGAAGATTACCAGCCAGAAGATGTCGCAAGGTCTCTTCTGCGAATGATATCAAATAACATCGGTCAGGTCAGTTCCTCTGAACATTTCAATGCCACTTTACAGAAAAACTTTAGCTGATGATTTTTCTGATTGGGTTGTAACATTTTCTATTGTCTCACTTTCTCCAGATTGCTTATTTGAATGCTCTCAGATTCGGTCTTAAGCGTATTTTCTTTGGTGGATTTTTCATCCGTGGGCTTGAGTACACCATGGACACAATCTCTGTTGCTGTTCACTTTTGGTAATCCAAAACTGTAACTAAATCAAATCTTTCCATATCTAAAACTCATGTAATTTTCTCATTTTTCCTTCTCATTTCAGGTCGAGAGGTGAGGCAAAGGCTATGTTTTTACGACATGAAGGGTTTCTTGGAGCATTAGGCGCATTCACGAGCTACAACAACCAGAGCCATAACGATATAAAATCGCATCAGCACACTGTGCAAAGAGCAATTCTCAACTGTTCAGGTGATAACTTACGACACATCCCGGTAACTTCAAATTTAGATGATAGCGAAACCATAGAATGTAGCATCAATTTAGTTTAGTTATCACCAATTGTATTGTTATCAATTCAGTATAGAAATATGTTCAAGTTAATTAACTGTTTGAGTCTAAGAGCTGCTCATTCGTAGTTTGTTGAATGTTAGACACATTTATGTAAAATGAATCACGTATTATTATTATTCATGTATGTCCAATGTAATTTGTTCTACAATATATCACACAAAGATTCAAACACAGTTATTAACATGTACATTGAGTTATAGAGCTTCTTTAAATCTCTGTAGACTCTGTTAAGTCCGGTTCATTGTAAGTATTTATGCATTTCTGTTTAGTCTTGGTTTAGTGAGTTTGTATATTGCTTATGTAACAAGTTTTTATCCTTTCAGCAGAAATAACATAAACTTGATACAATTTTCTTGGTTCTATGAACACTTATATGGACATTTTGTTGTTGTGTTGAAGACCGAAGTTTAATCCGGTTGAACCACACTGATTTAAACCCGAAACTGAACCGGAAAGGCAATACAAGAAGTGAACCACATCTTTGTTCGGTTTAATTTTTGCTTTACCATCCGTAAAAAAGTGAATCGAACTTAAAATTCTTCGTTTTTTTTAATCAAAAACTTAAATTCTTCTAAGATTCGATAAGAAACCGAGACCAAATTTATCCTTTAAACCGAGAAACTCAAAAATAAAACCTAAACCGGATTTAACATTCGCTAGACCCGGTACGAAGCAATGTGCCACATTCATGGAGGCTGACACGTGTCATCTACTCTGTCTTCTTCATTCCTTTTCCTACTTCGTCGACTTTCAATTTCGATTTCTTCGGCCAACGATTAAGCTTCCCAATAAGACAATCTCCGACCGCCGCAACATCACGACGGACCTTCACCGTGCGTAACTTTACGCAATCTCTCCTCTTTCGCAGACGCTTAAGAAGCTGAAATTGATCTGATCTTACGTTTACCAATTTCTCCAACAGGTATAAAAACTTAAAAATCAATCATTCACCTAAATCCTGATTCTTAATATCTCCATGATCTCAATTGCAGCAGATCTACGATTCGATTCTTCTTCTTCTTCTTCTTCTTCCTGATATATCGCTTCGTTGTTCAAATTAGGCACAAAATGGTACGGATCACCATTTTTCTTATCATCAATTAGCATTGATCCTAATTCACTTTGATTTGGTTCCATGAAGTATTTGAATCCATTGCTTGTAGTTGTTAACTCTGTGATACTCATTTTGGTACCTTAATCCTTGTGATTAAACGCTCTAATCAGGTTTATCACTCGAGCTTTGTGGATGAAGAAGGGATAACAAAGGCATGTGGTTGTCCATTGCTTCCTCTCAAGAGTCATATAAAAGGTCCTGCACCAATTTCAGAACAAGGTAATTAGTCTATACATGTGATTTTTTTCGAAAGTGCGATCGAAAGCGATTATGAATCGATGGTTTTTATATGCAGATAAAACTGATATCGTGGACGAGGCGATCACCTTCTTTCGTGCTAATGTCTTCTTCACAAACTTTGATATCAAAAGTCCTGCTGATAAGCTTCTTATTTACTTGACGTTTTACATAAATGTGGCCTTAAAGAGGCTCGAAGGCTGTAGAACGTTGGCTGTTGGAACGAAGGCCATTATCAACTTGGGTTTAGAAGATATTCCTGTTCCTGGAGAAACTGGCTTTCCTTTCCCAGGCCTCTTTTCGCTTCCTCAGTCCCAGGACGAAGCAGGTATATACATGTCTAAACAACCAACTCCTTATTGATTCCTCGGTTTTTCTTTCGGTTACTAGGTTCTTAGCCTTGTGTTCTTTTTGGCTTCAAATGTCAGATCTTTTCAGGAACTATCTTAAGCAGGTTCGAGAGGAGACTAGTGGGAGGCTACTGAGTGTAGCGTATAGAGCCAACGGGACACCAAACAAATGGTGGCTTGCATTTGCCAAGCGGAAATTCATAAACGTTGTCGTCCTATGATAAAACACATTATCACTGGTAAGTATCACTTTAGTTGACTGGATACAGTTATCCAAAATCCAACATGATTTTAGATCCATCTCAAATAGCTCAAATATTTCTACATTTCAAGCTTAAAAAGTTCTTCTTTCGATCTGATTTTTTCATAATTTTAGCAGTTGGTTATTCTTCCTTGCTTGCTACCCATTACGAATGAGAGTTCGGAAGCCACTGGAGATCATGAGAATCACCGCCTTTAGCTTCCTTTACGTAGCTGTTAGCCACTGGAACCAGGAAGACCATCTGAGAGCAGAAAGCTCTCTCTTTATCTCTCAATATATATACATAGAGTGTGCCAATGTATTGTTTCATACAACTCTTGTTGGAATATAAAATTTGTTGATACAAGATCAAAGTTAAATAAAAAGATTATTTTAATACTTTAGATTAACAGAGTTCATCTCCAAGGTCTTATCAGATATCAGATTGTAGCCACTCTTTCTCACTCTTAGCAAATTATACAAGCAAAAGAAATAGCTTTGCATACACACAGTGACATAATTGTGCCTGAAGCTACCTATCAGGCCTTGGTGCATACGTTACCGTCACAAACCCAACCATCTGTGGACTCGCTGCCACCTTCTTTCACAGCCTCATCGCCGTTTGCTTTTGTGTCCTCCTCTAAAGCACACTTGGCGTGAAGATCAAAGTCGCATTCGTCGCAATGGTAAGACCATATTGTCCCTTCTTCCTCGCACTTATCGCACGTGTAAACCTGTACACGAGTCAGTTCTAGCTCATGTTCTTCATGAAGTACATGTTTCACCTTCTTAGGCCACTCTTTCGCCATGTCATCGTACTTAGCTTCAATCTCCTTCAAACGTTCCTCAGTAAAAGGGTAAGCCTCGGCTCCATGGGCTACCACAAGGTCCCTTGCTTCTTTTGTTACAGTTTTCCCAGTTGGTCCCAGAGCTGCTAGCATTGGGATCCCACCGACCTTGAAGGTTTGTGCCAAGGATGTTTTCCTAGGATCACCAAATGGAAGAGCCAGCCACGGCATTTGTGAGTAGTACTCATCAAATGATTCCTGGTCACGGTCACTGGAGATGAAGATCAATTCAAACGCTTCATCCCGCTCCTTTATCTGCTTGTATACTTCAACAAGCTTTGGTGTAAAAGCGCGACAAGGAGGACACCAGTGAGCTGAGAAGTATATAAGAATGTTCTTCCCGACCAGATCCGAAATAAGCACCTAACAAAGAAAGCCAAATTTTTACAGGTTGGTTCAGATCAGCCTCGAAGAACAGTGTTTAGAAGCTTAAGAGCATATCGAGAGCTATACCTTAGCCCCATCTTTTCCGAGAACATAGTTGAGATCACCTGAGACAAGAAGTGACTCGAGCGTTTGAGCCTCTACCTTTGCCTTTTCTATCTCCTTGAGTTCTTCAAACTTCTCAGGAGTGAAAGGATAAGCAAGAACTCCATAGTCATCAATAGCTTCAGCGACATTCGAGTGACGGGTTTTTCCATCAGGCCCGAGAATAACCAGCGTCGGTAGTGTTGCCAGCATGAAGTGCCGAGCCAATTTCGATGCGCTTTTGTCATTGAACGGCAATGATAGCCATGGCTTGGTCTTGAATTCCTGATTAAAAGACTCCTCATCATCTTCAAGAGATATCAACACAATCTCAAAATCCTCCTTATTCTCCTTCAACTTCGTATAAAACTCAACAAGCTTTGGGGTAAACTCTGTGCATTTCCTGTAAGAGGCGACCGAGAAGAGAAGGCCAATGGTTTTTCCCTCAAGCTCTGATACGGGTACCTAATGAATATGCAATTGACCAATCTCATTAAGTCAACAAAGCCAAAGAGACACAGGTTCGTAATAACTAACTAGTGCAAGAGTCTTGTATAGACACTCTTCCTATTGACAGAAAAGAATCTAATCTCACAAGCTACTAAGGGGTACCTTGTTTCCGTCAGGCGAGATCACAAAGTCCCGTGAAGGAGTCACCAAGACTGATCTTAAGGTCTGTTCTCTCCGAGCTCTATCTTCTTCCTCTTTGATCTCCTTCATTTTCTCTGGTGTGAAAGGATAAGCATCAGCTCCATAGCTTCGTATGACCCCAACCCCATTCTCATTCACAAGTTTACCATGGTCATCAACCATCACTAGGTTAGGTATTCCCCTAACCTTAAACAACTCATCCAAACGGTCACGGGTTTCAGAATCAGTAAACGGAACAGCGAGCCACGGCATCTTACTGAAATAATCTCCAAAAGACTCCTCATCCTCATCACCCGACACAAAAACAATCTCGAAACCAACTTTCGAAGAGAGTTCGTTGTAGACTTCCACCAGCTGTGGAGTAAACCGCTGACACGGTCCACACCACGCAGCTGAAAAATACAATCCAATCTTCTTCCCTATCAAGCTGTCAATTTTCACCTGAACATCAAGAAAATGCATATAATCAAACTCTACCCAAACAAGGTAAGCCAAATCAATAAAGGTCCAAGCACTTCAATTCAATGAATCTTAACACTTGAAAGCAATCGATTAAAGTCATCTATAGCAAATCAACTACACAAATCTATCTATAATCTATAAACCAGAAGAATCGGTTCAGAGAATCGCGAAACAAGCACAGGATCGTTATCGAAGATAAACAGAAGTTGAGATCGACGACTATAAACTCAAAATCAGGTCAACTACAGAAAGAGAGAAGCGTCAAAAACTATTTTACCTGTTCGCCGTCATTACGAACGAGGAAATCCCTCGCCGGAGAAGAGAGAAGCGAGTGAAGATCCTTGGCATCGACGCCGTTGACTTCCTTCGAGGTGTCGGCCATGGCTTGTACGGAAATCGAATTTGAGAATCGCTATTACGAAGACTGGTCTCTGTTTTCTTTTCGTTTGAGGGCCAAATGTGCTCAAAGCGTTGTATAAAAACGTCTCTTTTAAAGTTTTTTAGTCCAGAATTATATTCCTTAGCGATTAATTAAAGACCTAAATTGAATTGACCATAAAAAGTGAATAAAATGGTTGACTAACCAACATAATTATATTTGGTATCCTTTCCGGTTTAGGTGAGGATTGAAAGCTATAGTTTGGTAAACCGGAACGGTCGCCTCAAAGGTGGTCAAACAAAACAAACCCTAAGACCATATGTAACGCAGCATCTTTTACCCTGTTCTTGGGTATAAAAAAATAGAAAAAACTCAAATAGTAGAGGAACAAGGGGAAGAGTGGTCTTGAGCAAGATCAGTTGTGAGGCAGCTCTTACTGCCACGTGTCAGAACATGAATGGGTATCACTTTAAGAAAAGGTAAAAAGCATCTTCATATCTCTCTCTCTCTCCACCGATCAATATATCTATATATATATCTCTTTCTCTCTCTTAACTTATAATACCATTATAATTATTTAAGACCTATAAAAAAGTTTTTGCGATGCATATGCTCTAAGAAGTCAGCAGTAGTAATCTCGATGTCGATGGGGTGTAAATTGTAAAATCAAGATACATGGGTTAATGTTAAATATTTACCAAAACTTAAGGGCTATTTCTCACGACGATTTACGAGGGAGCAAAGCAAACTACCGGGAGTTTACACGTGTATAGTCGAGATCAATTCTCCGTTATTGACGGTCTATATTAATATTGGACGGATAAAATATTTAAATATTAAAAACGCAGAAACTCGTGTTCACCAAGGTTGATGAGTTAAAAGGCTATGACCAGTGTCCAGTGGACACATACTTAGTGTGAAAGTTGTTAGACCATCCTCATTGATGGTCTCTTAGGACAAGTCTTATGGTAAGAGACTTTTGTTGTCTCTTACCATAAGACTTGTCCTAAGAGACCATCAATGAGGATGGTCTTAGTACAAAGATGGTGATACAGGTCTCCAATTGGTCATCAGGCATGGCAAATGCCACATTGCTGAATGTGTGGTTGGAGATGAGACAAGAATGATTATCTTTACCGCAAGAAACGAACAAGATAAGTTTAATGTACAATCATATTGGTTTCTTTGTTTGTGCATTGAGTGTTAGTTTATTTATTAAAAGCTTCAGTTATATATTCTCAGTCAGCATCTTGCCTACTAAAGGTGCTCATGCCGAATCCGGTTTTCGGTTTACGAAATATAGAAACAGAATGCCATTTGATTCTGTTTGATAATGTCTAGGTTTTGAGAAAATTAGAAAATATTTAGGTTTTAATTGGTATGTATTACCTTTTCGCGGCTTGGTTTGATTCTGGTCACAGTTTATTAATATATCGTAATAATGTAACGGAATTGAACACCTTTTATTACCTACCATGTCCAATAGTATAATGGGAAATACAGACTGTTACAGTTTCGTAATCTGGAAAGAGAACCGTATTTTATCGATTATTGACTAAATAAGTCGCTATATATAGTTTGATGTTGAAACAGTGAATTTAATGAAAGAAGGGATCACAATCCTGCAGAATGCAAAGATCGACATGTTCAAAAGATCGATGAGACTCTCAGTGGACAAGTGGGGTGGTATTGAGTCGCTGGACCCGTAGACATCACCATGGAAGAAGATAATAATCTCTCACAAATCGAGTCTGATGTCGTGAACATTGTAGAAGAGTATTCAATGCTCTCAAATGTCAGAAGGGGACAAGAGATTTGCCTCCAGATAAAAACAAAAACAAGAAGGGTTTTCTTGTCTTAATCTGTGTGAGAAATCAATGAAGCTTTTTTGCTCTTGAGTTCACTATCCAAGTTCACGGTGAGTGAGTTTTGCTGATTAAGTAAAGATAAAGTTGTAACATTGTGTATTAATTTCTTTTCTTTTAACGTCACATTGTGTATGAATTTCAAGATTTGTGTTTTGTACATTGATCAATTCTCTGGCAAAAAAAAGAATATTCTGCCCCTTATCAATGTGTTTCTTATTGCGTCGAGACTCCTAATTAGTTTACCCAATTTGAAAGAACATACGTCCTGTTACTGTATTTAATAAGAGTTGGATTCAACCAAATGGTTTGCGATTAAATGTAGCAACTAATTATTTAAAATTTAGAATATACTGAAGTTGTTTTAACGTTAATATATATAAATAATCTTTTTTCCCCTAATTACAATGCATGTGAAATATTCAAAACTAAAGCAACAAACTTTCAACGAAACTTTGACGTTGAATCTCCAACCCATAAGATGGATGAAGTCAAAGATCCTTCACTTTTAAGTTCACTCATTGCAATATAGTCTACGAGTATAGTTTCAATGAAAGAACAGTTGTGAAAGAATATAAAAAATTTGTAATCCTAATCATAACATAGAATTTAAATTTTGTTTTTAAGATAGAAATTACCTAAAGAACATCCATATAAATAAAACTGGGAAACATAAAGCCATGTCTAACAAG